ATTCCTCGCATCAACGAAGGGCGGAATTGGCACATCTGATGGTGCGATTCTGGCCGAAAATCACTCTACTCACTGCGCACTGCAATATTTGCTTCTGTCCTCCTTGGCTGGAAAAGCCAGGCGGATACTCACTGCTTAAAGTTTTACCTAACAGGACCCTTCAACTCAGGACGATTCGACCCGAGCAAGACATGAATGGCGGGTGCCGGTTGGCGCCCACTGTTCCGGGGTCGGTCTTGTGAGTCGAGGTCCCGCCTGGATCTGCACAGCACTGCTGCACGAACCCATTGCCCAGGGCACGCGAATGGCCTCTAATGGCAAGCACACTGCTGAGCAGGAGTGGGCACTCCGGTGAGTAACCTCTCAAGGTCTTCCCGAACGGTGCATGGTGCATCCGGGAGACGACACACAGTACCCATGGCTTCAACCGGCTCTCTCTTATCAGAAAGGCGCGGTTTCGCGACATCCTTCATTGGGTCTTTGATCCCTTGGGCCCTACAGTACTCTTAGTGGCAGACGAATGTCGTGCTTCTGTTGGCCGTTGCTCATTTTCATCGAGTGGTGTGCGCACGTATTCTCCTCCCCCCTCTGTCAGGGCTGGGAACTTTTAGCTCGCCCGCAGTGACCAGCCCTACCCAGCCAAGTCCCTAGGGCCAGGCCGAATCTTAGATCGGGTCTAGCATTTCAGATGAGATGGCCCCCTTGCCCGTGCCACATCTGTCCGATGGAAGTTTCTTTAGCCCGTTCCCAACGGCGAACAACCTACTATGCAGTACAGAAGCCATCTCTCTCCGCGGCTTCGGCACTCTGTGACAAGCCACGAGTTGTAGGTTGTGACAGGCCTTGCCTTGGCACTACTGGCCCTTCGGAGAAACCCATCATGGATGTTACAGCGCAGCAGAGATTGGTGGGGCCAGCCTGACCCCACGCCGGGGCCTCAGAGGACCAGAAACGACTGGAAACGTCTCCCCACAAAAGAGGAGGGCCGGGAAAAAAAGGAAGGTAGTAAGACAGAATCAGAGTGGTTGTGGCGCTCGAAACCCACCATTCCCCGAGTTGACAAGCGTTACTTAAGCAAAGGTAGGGGCAGCTTCAGCCGTGGCCTTGGCTCAAAGAGGACGGAGGGTTTCGACATCCCAGCTTCCCTTCCAAAAAGGGTTTGCAGACGGCGAAACAGGGACACTAAGTTTGGGGGCGTGACGGCCTGCCGGGTATTCGTTTGTTCAACTTCACCTGCCCATGCGTCCGAGGCAAGAGACCAGGTCAAGGTTAAGTAGGGGAGGCCCAGACAGACAAGGCACGCTCTTCCCGCAAGACAACTCGTGACGGGGCCACCTTAAGGCCCGAGCATGGCCACCTGTGGCACCACCTCACCTGGCTTGACTCTGGGGCCTCGATGAATACCGACCGACATGCTTCTTGGCTCCTCCCTGGCTCCGTACTGCGTAGAACTGGGACTTTGGGGGTGGGCGGGCGGCAGCTGGACCGCTGGGTCGAGTGTGCAGGTCGTGGAACCTCAGCGCCTCACGCATCAAGAGCGTCCCGGGAAACCTCAGGCCATCATCAGCTATACGTCGTTCCCTGCCGCAAAAAGGCAAGCAGTGTGACGTAGCCCTGCAAGTCTGTCTGCAAGACCCTGGCCGGTGACGTATGGAAAGAAGTTTCTGGCAGACCTCGTGCCAATTCGAAGGCATTCAGCTCTCTCACGATCAGGTTTAATATGTCCTGGGGGCGGACGAACAGCGTCTAGAAAGGGGTGTTTGGTGTGGTGTGCTCTTTTCCCCTCTTCATTATTATATCAGAACAGATCCCAGAGGCGATTTTCAAGACTTGCTAGCTTGACTGGTCGTCCTGCCCGGCTCGTCCGACGACCAACGATCATCGGCAAATTTCCCCCGTCCTCGAACCCCGACCGACCCAAGCATAAGCCGCGCATAAAAAAAGAACAGCAAACCCGGCACACAACTCATCCAACTCGCCCCATCGACTCAAGTAATGGCCTCTACGAATGCTGCCTGGGTCGGTGCTCGTGCGGGAGGGTAAAAAAAAATGAAAAAAAATAAAAAATGATTAGGGCGTCTCCCGGCCCGCCATCCACCTTTCTCTCGCTCTCGAGCGTCCCTACCTACCTTAATTACCTTACCTACATCTGCTACCTACTTATGGACCTAAGCTGACATCGGCACTCGTATGGCAATGTCACTGGCCGAGCTTGTGCTCGGTGTCGCTCTCCATCTACCGGTTCCTACTTCCTTAGGTTTCCCCCAATCTGCTCGCCCCCCAGCTTCATTTCACTTACTGAAGTCTGTGTCATAGGTGTCGCTGGCCTGTAGCGCAAGGGATAGATACCGCGTATATCTCTATCCCGTCCGGGAACTGGGGGTCCAACATGCCCGAGTGAAGTTTTTTAGGTACGAAGGGCTCGGCGTCCTCAAGACACGCCTCCGAAATGAATCGCAGGCTGTCTCGGTTCTCTTGGACTGCATATCACCCCCAAGAATGAAAATAACCGAGGACCTCCAGATCGACCCGTGTACTCGTAGGGGACACGTTCCTTATGGAGGGGTCATCCTGTTTTTCATACAGGGCTCTACCAAACAAGTCGATGAGGTGTTGCACCACCACTTTCGTTATTAAGCAAACTCCGGGCCAAGCCATTTTGTACTAGCGACCGACGACCGGGCATGCGTCATGAAAAGAATACCGACCGACCGACCTACCTTACAGGCGAACGCGCCAAAGGACTGGATCGCCGTCGGCCCTCACTTCTTCCAATCTGGTTCACTCACTGTTCAATACCTCGCATCATCCCGTGCCAGGGTATTATCAGCCAACGCAGGCAGGCTTCCACGCACCAACGCCGACGTACTGCAAAGGACGAGGAGTCGAAGCGGGAGCTAAACAGGAGGGGGGTGAGAGACAAACGAGGCGTGGAGTGGCTTCAGCCCGGCCACATTGAACTCACACATGTATCCATACTTGCTGCCCTTACCGACGCCGCTACTCATCGCTTTGTCGGGAGAGCCCCATGTCAGCCTTTGGCAGCGTCAAATCGTTGCAAGCCCAAATCTAGGTAAGTGTTTTTTTGGCTGCTTGACATGGTGTTGGACCTTTTTTTTTTTTTTTTTTTNTTTTTTTTTTTTTTTTTTCTTTCTCCCTCTCCCCTTCCCCCCTTTCCAACCTCGGCGATACTCGTTGTCGCATCGCAACGCCTCGCATCGCATCGCATCCCACCGCTTGGTGCGCCACGTATTTCCTGCACCATCCATCTCAGCTAGGTAGGTTGTTGTGACAGTGGCCTGCGAGACCTCTTTATTTTTATTCCTCAGTATGGTACAAGTCAGGACTCCGCAGGCATGATGTACCTAGAGGTAGGAACGACATGTTTCGAGCATGTACAATCAACTCCAGTCGTGTCGTGTACGGTCAGATGCCTCCGTTGAACCAAGGGGGGGGGAGAGGGGGAGAGGAAAAAAAAAAAAAAAAAAAAAAAAAAAAAAAAAAAAAAAAAAAAAAAAAAAAAAAAANAAAAAAAAAAAAAAAAAAAAAAAAAAAAAAAAAAAAAAAAAGGCCAGACCTAATCGCTGCGGACAACCCAATGTCGAGCGGTAAATACCACCCGGCGTCCACTCATCCCGCCTATTCCCTGTCACAATCACTAGTTGCGGGTTGTGATTTTTGGACTTTGCTGTTGAGGGTAAAAAAGTGTCATTCCTCCCACCGTTATTGGATACGTCTCATAGGCTTGCTTTGTCCTCTTGTTTCCATTCATATCGCTCGGTCAATGGGAGTTGTGTGCGCCCACTCGATTATCCTGCCCTGCCTGTGTTGAGCCTTCAATGGGTCATTCCACCGTCCCGCCTCTCCTGGGTCTCGCTCCGGAACTATCTCTCGGCGCGTGAGGTGTGTGTGTGTGTGTGTGTGTGCGTGTGTGTGTGCCATGTGTTCCGGCGCCATCCTCGTCGCCATCGTCGTTGTTGAAATTGCAGTTTTCGCCTCTTTCCGGGTTGCAGTAATTTTTTTTTTAAACTCTCGAGCTCTTCTCTTCGAGATCCTAGCGTTGCTTGAGAAACAAGACTTGCTACCACCGGCACCGTGGACCATCGGAGACGGCCTTGTGCCCCGGCCAGGACGGGACCCCCAGTCCATCAGTCAGAGACCAATTTGTTCCGCGTTGTCGCTGCCAGCCTTCCAGTCCTTTTTCCAGTCGGAAAAAAATCTCATACTCCGCCTGGCCTCTACCGGCGATATTCAGTAGTGGTCAAACAGCAACTTCAATTGCCTGCAGCCACCTCCGCCTCCGGTGCGCTCGCCAGGCCACCCCGCAGCGCCTACTATCACACGCCTCACCCTCGCCCCCCCGAAAATAGGAAGAGCGAGAGAGAGAGAGACGGGACAAAAAAAAAAAAAAAAAAAATATCAAAAGCACGCACGGAATGCACTCCGGGCAGCAGGGACCCCTCAACTCCGTCTCTGGCCGTGCCTTCTCCGTCTGTTGAAGGACGCTTCCGCTTCCGCCTCCCCTCCCTCTCTCCCTGCTCTCTTCATCCTGCTCCTCCACTTCCACGTCCCCATGTTGCCCAACGTGCCTGCTACGGCTTGCCACTTGACAACCCCAAGACTCAATTAGACCACATCCGCCATCTTTTCGAGCCATTCACGACACAGCTTCAACCTGCCACCCGTTTCCTCCTCTGTGCGACCGCGAAAGTTGCCCGCCAAGTGCCACCCTCGCCATCACTTCGCCCTCTCGGACCCGATCTCGCCGCCCCTAGGGTTAATCACCCCTTCGCAAGCACCTCGAGAGCTTGCCTGGTTCGACCTTGTTGTTGTTGTTGTTGTTGCTGTCTTGTTTTTGGCCTCCTCCGACCCTTGCACTGCCTGGAGTTGTTTTCTTTGGCATGCCATTTCCTCAACTCAACTCGCCCTAGGTTCTTCATGAATATCCAACACCCAAACCAAATCAAACCCCCTCCGATCCCGTCACTATTAGGTGTACCATGGACGACGAAGCAGCAGCGGGGCCTTCTAGCGAGATGTCGCGAGGAAGCTCTGCCGCGGCCGAGTTGAGAAGGGACCGAAACTCCGTCATGAAGGTGGTAAGTTCTACACCCCTTTTCGCTGCCTTTGCTGCAGATTTCGCATTGCGTCGACTTCCATGGCCCAAAGTTTTGCGGCTATGCTAACCATGTGGCGTTGCTCGCAATCTTGGCTGCCGATGGACGTTGGGTTTGGCAATCTCGATCTGTCGCCGTCCGACAGCTGTTCCTGTGCCAGCCAACAACTGTTTGGCCTTTCCTTGTCTACCAGAAGAAATCTGACATGATGACAGGCATGCAGTATTTGCCGGAGAAGAAAGCAGGCATGCGACGCGGAGAAACCCAAGTGCGGCTTCTGCAAGCAGCGAGGGTTCCAGTGCGACTATGCGGCGCCGCCCGTGACGAAGTGAGTTCCCTTCCCGCCTACCTCTCCTCTGACTCCGATAGCATCAATGACTGCATGTCTGTTCCCGGCAGTCCTCTCTCGATCCCTGCGAACTTCTTCACGGGGGTTATCTAGAGGGATCCTTGTCAGCGTTTATTAACAAGATGATGTGCAACAGGAAAGACAGAACTATGGAAGAAATCCGAGATTATCTAGCTCGTATCGAACCCAAAATCCACCACATTTATGAGAATAGCGGAGATATTTCTAGACTTTACCAGATTTTCGACCCTTTCGGCTACCAGTCACAAACCGCGACGGCGAGTTTGCAGATGCCCGTGCCACTCCAGACACAGCTGCAGTACGTGTCCGCCGTTCATCAAATGATGCGGTGGGATGCGGTGTGGGAGATGCTTCGAGCTGCTGAGCCCAAGATAGAGGGATTGGAGACCCTCCTGGAGCCAAACTTTCCCTCGATGCTAATGCAAAGCCAAGGACGCGATGGGAAACTGTCGCATGATGTTCTCAGACCGAATATTGCGGGCGGTGCGACCCTAAGTTATGCCGACAAAGAATGGCTGGAGCAAGGTTCGACGATATACTTCAGTACTTTCCACCTGATGCACCCTGTGTTAGACCAGGAGTACTTCATGAAGAGAACACTGCCATCTGCAATCAGCGGTAAAGTGCCGCAAGAAAGCGCAGAATGCGCTCTGGTGTTTCTGACGATTGCTCTGGCTCACATGGCTTCAACTGGGGGTGCCAGCTGGGAAATGGACAACCAGCCACCGGGCCTGCATTATTTCAACGAGGCGAGACGTCGCTTGGGATTCTTCATGGAAGAATCCACCATCGAAGCCGTACAGGTCTTCGTTTTAGCAGGGTAAGTTCTCGTAATCGAAGGATGGACTGCGCCGGACGTGGCGCCGGACTCCGGGCGGAGTCCGGATCCGTGTCGGCGCCGGATCCGGGGCCGGGGCCCGTCCCATAGGTGCCCGCATCGGGAGCCGCATCCGTGCTCTTCGGGTGTGATTCTTGGAAAAAGAAATTTTTGCTGACTCGAGCTTGGTGGCTCCCCCGACCAGATTGTACTATGAATGCTGTTCTCGACACATGGTAAGAGACGCCGCGAGGGGGGTTGTCGTGGGTATTTGGCTAAGATGGAGGCAGGAATTCCGGGCTATGTCCGTTCACGCGTCCTTGGCTTGCCACAAGATGATTACCGGGTGAGATTTATTTACCCCCATTATTGCCGCGGGTCATCCGGTGCGCTGTTTTTACTGGCCAATGTGCTGATGAGAGCCTGCAGCAGCTCTGGCCAGGACCGATCTCAGACGCAGGCAGATCTGATGCGGCGGCTTTTTTGGCATTGCTCCATCACAGAAACGTATGTGCCATCGCCCTTTTTCCCTGACGTTCAATTCATCGATCCATTAAAAAAAAAAAAAAAAAAAAAAAAAGTTGGACCACCAACCCAACGCCCCAAACTGGGACCCCTATCCCCATCGTCATCACCAACCCCATCTTCCATTTCACAGCACATTCCCGCAGCCTGACGATGATGATGATGATGCACCACGTCCGCATCGTCTGCGTTAATCGCACCCCCCTCCCACCTCCTCGTGGTGTTTGGCTGAATTATCGACGCCCGGCCTGTCCTGTCATCCCCTGTGTTTATCCATCCACGTCTGTCTGAGTTGTCTGACGAATAATTACTGAGCAGAGGACTCAACCTGGAGCTCGAGTTGCCAGTGACATCGCTCAGGACGATAGAATGCGAAATGTGGCCAGACATGTTCTCAGAGAGTCTGGTCCCCGATACAGGTTACGGCCTTTACGAGGAGCATTTTTACACGCAAATTAGCATGCAGAAGCTCGCACTCGACATACATCGCACATTGTCAACGGGTGAGTACTTCCCACCAGCGCCTCTGACTCTGACAACTCTCCTCCCACTTTCGCTCAGCGATGACGTCGTCATCATATGCCAGTTCTGAGTTGCAGCATCGCAAGTGCAGCAGGAAGCCTTCCCCATGACACCCATCATACGATGATCCGTTTGGGATGCTCCCCGCTAACGATCTCTCTTCACCCAGCCTCGACGCGGCCTGCCTCCACTCCAGGGCTGTTCACGCAGACGGCCAAGGAGAAGGCTTCTCATGAACTCCACGTTGCAGTTGACCAGCTGCAAAGTAGCCTCAACGAATGGCAATCGCAGTTGATGGAAGGGCTTCAGTGGAATGCTAACCAAATCACCACCCCTATCCCGTTCCCAGGGCAGTTTTCCGCGTCATACCCAGCGCCGTACCCTACCCCTGGCGAAGAACGCATGGAAGGGGTCATGTCTGCAATCGGCTCCGTGTATTTTCCCAGCAACCAGTTCATGGCGCAGCAGCAGATCGCAACGGGAGTTCTTCCGACACAGCCAGCGTCGCCCGATACCATACTCCAAGCTTTGCTGCGCACTCGTTCCAGTTACTTGCGTTGTCTGCTGTACCGCCCTTACATCTACCGGGTCGTGCACTCTGACAAGCTGTCTTCTCAAGACCTCGTCGGGGCCGAGGAATACCTTCGGCAGTGTGTTTGCTGGCCAATCATCATGAATCCGATTTGTCACAGCAAGCGCCTGATTCATGGTCTTTACTTCTGGTCGCACAACCTGATGGGGATTCTCATCATCTTACGCCTCGCCATCACGCACCCAAGGCTACAGGCGGTGTGTCTCAGTATCGGTAAGAAGGACAAGGAGGAGTTCAACAGACCCGGCGCGTGGAACGCGCAAGCGAGGCAGACCATCTTGCTATGTGTGGAATGGTTCAAGAGCCTCGTGGATAACGACGGCGATGCTAGGTGGTGTTGGTCCATCATCCAGGGCATATACCCAGAGCTGGCCCTCAGCCCGACGAACACGCGTTTTCTGCCAGAGTTTTACCCGACGGCGATGCCACCTCAGGAGGGTTGATGGCCCTTCTTCAACCAGTTCTTGGCTGTCAACGTGCGGCTGTGCGTTACGAGGAAGATGAGGAGAGCAGTGAGTGACAAAACAGACGGCTCTAGGACCTACGACAGATGTTTGAGGAACCAATGAGGTTAGAACGACGGGTCTACGTCTGCGAGCGGCTCGCAGGTATGGTTGATTTGACTGAACGGACAACGAAAAGATCGGAGGGAAAAGAAGAAGAGAGAAGTGGCGCTCACGAACAGAACACTTGGGTTGCGGTGGGGGCTTAGACTGGAGAGATACCCTTGCATGAGATGCTCCGCGCTCCCTCTTTTTTTGTTTTCTTCTTCTCCTTCTTGTCTGCCAATGATTGGCTCCGTCTAGAGAATTGGCATCTGAAGATGAAAGCCGCAGAGCGCGACAGACACGCAAACCGTTCAATCATGACCTTTCAGACACCCCTGGTGATGCTTAGCCGGCCTGGAACCGAAGGGTATGTCCCTCAGCTGGGCCTCTCCAAGTCGCATATGGCGGCAGTGCGCCGTATAGAATATGCAGATACAGGCGAGGAATGTGCAGGATGAGGTAACCGCAGCCGGCGCGCCTTGACTTCCATGATGCCCCCCTCGTTAAAATCAAGCCTGAATCTTGCCTGCCCATTGCCTCATAATGTCGCACCGTTCTCTTCCAGCACGGGGAAAGCCACTACCTCCCGTGCCCTCCCGTACCCCTGAGATACGGTGTGTCTCTCTTACAAGAATCAACAGAAGACAACCTGTAGACAGTTTGATTGGAAACGCATGCTATGCACAACAGGTGAGTTGGGTCATCATCAAAGACTCCCATCACGCCACAGGCATAGCTACATGAGGGTAAATTACCAACATCCATCTAGCTTGCTGATCCTCATGCTCATCCACACCAATCTTCAGCTCAGACGAGGCATTTTTTGATTGTTCAGAGAGGCTCATGGAGGCTGACAGATGGTGGGTAACGAGCTTCCGCTTCCGAAAATTTACGTGATATGCGAAGAGTTGACGCGAGTGTGTGAGTGTGTAACGTATCTCAGCCGGGAGAAGCCCCCACTGCAAGAAGTTTCATCGTATTATGAGATGCCAGGAAAGATTCCTCACTACGATCAATCGCGACTTTCGTCCATCAGATCACATGTTTGCCCCTTGCCTGCCTGCAGTTCTTACTAGATGTCGTCGTGAGGTCGTCTTGACGCACTAGGGCCGACTTTTCACGATTTCAACATTGACATCATCACCTTCACAGTGAATGACATGCCAAGAATGAGCGGTCACCATACATCGCGGCGCGGTCCGTCAACCCTCACCAAATTCCGCTACGCTACCCTTACCAGGACCGCCGACAACGAGTATGTACTCGCGTCGGCTTCGATTCCCGCGTTGAACCTACCAGTGCCACGGGCCGGACTGCTCCTCAGTCGTCCCGTGTTACTACACACCGAATTCCTCCAACGCCAACAAAAAAAGGCCGAGAGAATAAACGTCAGAAGAAATCAAGCGCAAGCCACGTTTACCAGCCTTCCACATAGACTCGAGAAACAGCACAATGAACCAACCAGATGGCGGACGAGGGCACTAGTGGAGTGGGACAGCGACAGAAGGAAGGAGCTACCGAACCCAACGCATCGAGGTGACTGCAACATTGCAGATGCAGTGTCGCCTGTGCCCAGGCCGTGGGGTGCGGCTGCTTTAGCTCGGCTTGGCCTGGCTTGGTGTGTACCTCGAAGGCGTGTATCGTCGTCTCTCGGCCGGGAAGGGGAAAGGGGAAAGGAAAAGGGGGGCGTGTGGGAAGAGCTGGATTGGGGCCCAAGGGGGAAAGAAAAGGAAGGGAACATGCCAAAGCGGTATTGGGCTTGCAGCACAAACCTGTCGTCGTGGTTGCTCGGATTCAGCCTCGTCTTTTCCCGCCCCGCTCGCCCCCTCCAACGACCGCGACACATTCCTTCCACGTCAAAGACAAGACACGGAAAGTCAAAGACAAGACGTCAATGGACGAGGCCGTGCTTTTTTTTCTTCGTCCTCTTTCCCTCCTGTGACGTGTGGGTTTATTGTTCATGTGGCGTGCGCCAATGGCGAATCTGTTTTCCCAGGGTCCTTGCCGCTCGCCCGCGCCGCCGTCGTGTCGTCACGTTCAAGACATGAAGCTACTACGCGCTGTGGCT